TTATTCCATAAATCCTTCTAATATGGCGAGATAATAATAAGTTATAAAAAAAATGCTAACTCACAGAACGGATCAGGTATAAATAAATACAATGGAAACGGTAACGTGTCAATTTCTCGTTCATTAGATAATGGACGTTATTTTCCGTACAAGTAACTATTTTGCACAGATCAGATTAATGAAATTCAATAGCCGCCTCGCATGCGAAAAATTTCAAGTTCGAGGCTCATTAACGGTTATGCGTGGTATAATTTTAGACGTGTAATTAAAGACGAGCACATTCAGATTTCCACCTCGAATAATAGTATTACCGACAAGATGTAACAATTGGGATGGGATCGTTAGTTGCAAGAAATTCGCTGGAGTCTACGCCAATGGAAAAGTGGTCTGCCAGGTGTGAACGGTGTTAATGTTCTTCCAGTAATAAGTACTAGTTTCTTTGAAACAATACTTTCCTAAGAGAAATATCAGAAGCTTGAAACGGTGCCAAAAACCGTGTCGAAAATTTGTTTAATATGGCACCCAGTAATGATAGGTTATACGAGTTCTTTTTCGCCGTGTATTTCACGTTCATTGACTGGTCGGATATTTATTGCGCGACGCGTGCTGCGTTCGAGTAGTTTTGATGAGAGGCTGATGATGTCGCGAGGTCGTCCACAGTGGGGCGCCACATTCTCGATTCATAAGGTTGAACGTCGCGACGACGAGAATAGCAAAGAAACGGGCGCGGATCCAGAGAGCACTGACCCAGTATGTCCGTCCGTCGTCGATTTCACGTTCCCCCGCTCCGTTGTTCCGTTCGCGACAAACGCGGCGTGCAACAGCGAAAAAGCATCGTATCCAGACGATATTTCATTATGTCTTCGCATCTATTGCTCGGCACATAGCATATGCTCGTCGATTGAATTTTATTTTACCCTCTTCGATAATTAATACGAAGCGACGCGTTCGGAGTGCTACGACTGTTGCCGGGGTGCTGGTATAGGTTAGGTACGTGGCGCCACTATGCCTGCGAGTTAACCTCGAAATTTACGTACGTCGAACTGCGAGATGAAATATCGTACGTTCAGTTCTTTTGTTTACTCTTAGGTGATAATTATACATCGGAAGATGGGATCGTTAGTTGCAAGAAATTCGCTGGAGTCTACGCCAATGGAAAAGTGGTCTGCCAGGTGTGAACGGTGTTAATGTTCTTCCAGTAATAAGTACTAGTTTCTTTGAAACAATACTTTCCTAAGAGAAATATCAGAAGCTTGAAACGGTGCCAAAAACCGTGTCGAAAATTTGTTTAATATGGCACCCAGTAATGATAGGTTATACGAGTTCTTTTTCGCCGTGTATTTCACGTTCATTGACTGGTCGGATATTTATTGCGCGACGCGTGCTGCGTTCGAGTAGTTTTGATGAGAGGCTGATGATGTCGCGAGGTCGTCCACAGTGGGGCGCCACATTCTCGATTCATAAGGTTGAACGTCGCGACGACGAGAATAGCAAAGAAACGGGCGCGGATCCAGAGAGCACTGACCCAGTATGTCCGTCCGTCGTCGATTTCACGTTCCCCCGCTCCGTTGTTCCGTTCGCGACAAACGCGGCGTGCAACAGCGAAAAAGCATCGTATCCAGACGATATTTCATTATGTCTTCGCATCTATTGCTCGGCACATAGCATATGCTCGTCGATTGAATTTTATTTTACCCTCTTCGATAATTAATACGAAGCGACGCGTTCGGAGTGCTACGACTGTTGCCGGGGTGCTGGTATAGGTTAGGTACGTGGCGCCACTATGCCTGCGAGTTAACCTCGAAATTTACGTACGTCGAACTGCGAGATGAAATATCGTACGTTCAGTTCTTTTGTTTACTCTTAGGTGATAATTGGCATGGAATAAGACTATCACGAGTGCCCAATGTTTTTCAATGCTTCAGCGAGTATTTTTGATAGTTAAATCTGGTTCCCCGTTCCGTGATTTTGTTTTCTTTTTTGGCGAATGTGCGTGAGTTACTTAACGCCTTGTTCTGTATTATTAGAGTTGGATATTAAAGTCGTTTAATATGATTAGTTAAATATGACTTATTTTTGGCAGTTCTCCATTCGAGGAACAAATCGGTCCTGTTCGTTATACTTGAACTGTAATCTGTGCTAAACATGCTATTCGGTATTACGATACAACAGCTAGTTGATTTCATATAGATAAAGTCGGAAAGCATATGTCACCAGAAATATTTTTGTTTATATTCGGACACTGATAGTGTAGTGTTACGTGATATAGTGTTATACACGATTTTCTATTAAGCAAATTTTCTTTGAATCGTCAGTGTCAGCATTGATATTATATTTTAAATATAATTATTGGACAGCTATTCATATATCGCTAATATACATATTCGAAGAATGTACTATGTCACTATCTTTCTAAGGACTCGAAGTTTTGCTATTACGTGTTCAGTGTTGTTATGCAAATTTATATATGTAGATTGTAAGAGTTAATTTATTCTGAACTTTCATATGTACACAAATTTGCGTTTGTACTCTATCTTTTTCCATATTTTTTATTTCCATTTTTATTTTCTTAACGATCCCTTATTTTTATTCGACTATTATTTCCTCAGTTCCTTCTAATTCCTTTGCACTTCTTCCCACTCTCACTTTTTTCTCCGTTTCTTTCCTTCTGTCACTCATGCTGTTTTCTTTTTTTCTAGCGGCCATAGGCGTTCGCGCGAGCGCTGCATAACACGAGTCAACGGTTATTTTTTCGACGCGCGCCCTAAGAAATTTATGTTCCGCCGCGTCGTTTTATCTCGCGTCCCGCTACCAGGAATTCCCTTAGAACCGCGCGCACACCTCTCACCCCCCCCCCCCACTCGCCCTTCACCCCGCCCTTTGTATCCTCACTATAGCCCTCTGTATTCATCTTGCTGCACTAACAGGTCGTGTTTCTTCGTCTTTCACTTCGTTCCTGCATATTCGGTACAACGCACCCGCGTTCGCAGCGAGAAAGAGGATCCATCGAGTTTTCGTGGACGGAACTGTAAACTCGTTGGCTAAGCGCCGAGTCGTAAACGACTTGACCGCTTCAAATATTTCTCTTCGTCGATCGTTCCTTCTCGTTTCCAAGCTGTAACGTTCCACGATATGGTGATATGACGCGACCATGGCAGGATTTCTTATGTGAATGCTGAATTTCCATCAGGATAAAAAGATGTTTGATTTCGATTATATGGGATTGTTTTCATAGATTAGTTTAAACATCAGAATATGATCGTTGTAATCGAGTGATAGTTTGGTTAATACGCATAGGTTAGGTCTTTTCCTTTATATGTGTGGCTCGACTGTTGGTTATAGAGTATAGATTGTTTAATGGAAAAACATGTCTGCCGAGATTGAAGTGACTTTCGTCTCAGTTACGCAAGTTGTTCTTTTAAGGTTAGGTCGTTGAACTGATTTTTCTTACATCAACTTTTCTTATGCCAAGAGAAATTTGAAGTGAAATACGAATTTTAATAGTACTTTACAATTAATTAAAATTATAGTCTTATGATAAATTCAAGAATATTTTTAGTCGTTAATTTTTTTTAAATGCAAAAGATAAATACCAGGCTTGTGTTGTCTATATATAATCACATGTATTTAGTTCCTTAATCACGGGATAGAAGTCGTGTGAAATCAAATGTTTATCTGCCAAAAGACAAATACGCTTTTTGTTTCTTGATTTGAGTTCTTGGAACTTTTCTGTGATACGGTAGTTTGTTGTTATGTCTTTATCGAGAAAGTGCCTGATCAAGTTGCAATTTCAGCGTCTCCAATCTTACATCTCAACAGTTAAATGCAAGAATATAAAACCCAAATCAATATTTGTTTTTTTTATTGAGTTCCATCCGAAATATTAGATTGAAAAAATATTGACACGTGATTAGTTACCGCCATTTTTAATTTTTAAATAAATATTAGAAAATATTTAACCCAACCAACTGAAGTAAAATTTTTGTAACTAGCATCGTATACTATTTTAACGATTTACGATATAAAATCATTGAATAATAGATAATAGGGAAACTCAGGTTATAAAAGATGCTAAAAGTGGTAGCGAGATTCAGGATTATACAAATGGACTTGACAGACCACAGACAAAGGGCAAGGGATACATCTGATTGGGCCGGCTCGTGGCCTCTCCCGAACGAGAGTCGATCATGGTCGAATATTGCCGAATGCACCCCTACGGCCGACATCGGTAAAAGTCGTCAGTTATCGAAAGTATACACGCGCAGCTATCATCTGTACTCAATCAACTATTTGTGTCATACTGTTCAGTCGTTTTGGATCCTTTATTATAAATAGTCTGTAAACTCTCATGCAATTTCTCTATTTAAATAACTATAAATCACAGTTATAAATTACAGAAGTTGATAGTATCTTGATATAAAACACGTATTATTCGAAAATGTTCTACGCTTCGCTTATTGGTTGCCATTAACCGCCATTGCGCAGCAGTCGAATGCGATACCGACTGAGATATTTCGATAGGAAGAAATTCCATTCCTTTATTTTATCCTGCATTATCAATTGATTTTACATCAGATGTCGTTGAGATCGACCAAATGCCTCGCAATTTTATAAAGAACAAAATGGTGTATAGCGACATAGAAAATCATAAATATAACCCTGAGATTTCTCAAAGCCTTTCACTTTTAAGAAAATTATAACTCGCAATAGTACATATACAAGTTTGTACATAAAGTTTCTCGTATCTTTAGACGTAATGGAGATATCCAAGGCGGTCAAAGTTATTAGTGCACATTATAAGAGATACTTTGTACAGTGCGATATTAAAGGACGTATTTGGAGATAGATGGATCCATTGTAAAATAGAATACTGGTTTTCGAAAACCATCTGAAGGTAGCTTTGAATAAAACGAAAGGCGTTCATCGTTTTCGTTCTTTCGTTTCGCGTGTATCGATAATGCGCGGTTTATTGAAACGTTCTCCGGTCTTTCGTGTTTCAGGTGAATACCAGAAATGAGTGGGCATCGTTATGCGAACAATTCCATCTACCCAGCGGCTGCGTGAACAGCGGGGTTGGCCTTAAACAAATTTACCTTAGGTAAGTGGCTAAGACGCGTTGCTATCATCGATCACCTTATTTTAGAAGCTCCTCGAGCTCGTACATCATTCGAGGAGCAGGTGAATCGCGGGATGTACCTTCCTATGACTGTGTGTATCTCTTGAATCTGAGTGTGTATACGTCTGTGCCTGAAAGCTAGGTCGAAGGCGGTGCTCACGAGCAAAGTTTCGAAGCTATGTGTTTGGGGTAAAGTTAGATAAGATATTATAAATACTTATATTCCCTAAAACTGATTATTTCTTATTAAAACGATATTTTATATGTTGGCATGGCAAGCTATATAGAATAAATAAATACATAAGGTGATAAACTGGACGTCTGAAATTAGGCAGGACCACATTTGATGTTTCTACAAGTAAATAAAGAAGATTCGAGTTCAGTCCTATAAGTAAATAAACAAAGTCAGTTTCCACGTATTTGTGAGTAAATAAAAGAGATGATCAAACATGTAACTGAGAGTGAATAGGTAGTACCGTGTGTTGACCTTATTCATAGTCACGTGTCTATATGTCAACGAGTACCATTCGATTTTGTCTGTTATGAACAAGTATGCGAGTTTTTACTCCATGAATTTGTAAGTAAATAAATAAATAAGATCATGGTACGTGTCGCCATAAGTAAGTAAATACAGTCACAATTCATAAGCTTATAGGCATACACAAAGGTCTCTGTTTATGAGCACAACTAAGGATTCAAGAGATTTACACTTTTATCATTTCTATAAATTCTCTCATTTTTTTAAAAAGAAATTCTTAGCTATTTTAAATAATTTCTGAGGAATGTCATTTTTGAAATTGTCTACTTTCCTATTTCAAGAATCGAATTTTTCGTATCTGTTCTTTAGAGAATGGCACGTGGAATGTTATAGCCATTTTTAAATGTCAAACTAATTTTGAAGCCTTCACTTGGGGAAATGGATAATTTATGGATGATAGTTGACACCATGAAAAACGAAGTATCGTTATTGTATCATAGAATTCTTCTTTATTTAGATTCGCTTACAAGTTTTTAAAATTATTTTAAAAATACGTAACAATAAATAATTTATCAAGTCCAATTTTCTTTTTCTTTTAATTTCTATATATTTTTATATTTTATAATATATAATGTCAGTAGTCCAGTCTTTCTTTATGAATTTCTCATTAATCGCAATTTTATCCATGTACTTTCAAAATATGGTGGATATTAATTTTCAAAAATGAAATTCGAGTGTTATTTGACCAGCCACCAAATCTAAACATTCAGCATTCTGTGACGTGTGATGTTATAAATTTAGAGTCGTCGCGTTACTTTATAATTGCCCCATTTACTTAAAGCTTTCAAAACATTCCTCACCATGTGGGTTGAGAACATGTAGCTTTTCTTGGACCAGGCTCCGAAAATCTTTGACTTGGATGTACAATAACACGAATCTTAAATATTTTAATCATAATTTTGATTAATGTAAAAATTGGAGGACTGTGCATAGAGGGAACATTAAATTATGAATGAAATTTTCATATTATAGTTTACTGTTTTAAGTAATTTTAATTACTCTAATTTATTATTTATATATTAAAATAGATATAAATTTGGTATATAAAAGTATAGAAATTTGTAAAGAAAACTTGGCTTCTTAAATTAGTTATATTTGAGGAAACTTGCTATATTTTTATTTTATTAATCTTATAAAGGTTATAATTTTGATATATTTATTCAGACTGAATGCTAGAGGGACATGTATTTTTCTTGGATATCTATGAAACCAAGTGTCACAATCTTCGTGCATAATCTAATTGTACATTAATAATTTATTATATTTATCTACACCACACAAACAAACATTCTACTTTATCGAAAATTCCACATGACTATCTTCGTCCAATGGCAACGTCCTCAGCCTCGAGTATTCCCCAATCATTATCTTCTAAAGCAGGGAATATTGTAAATAAGAAAAGAAGTAAACTAAAAGCAGTGATCAGAAATGTTATTTTGAGAATAATATTTCATATGTTAAATATTATTTTCCAAAATACATATAAACGTATAAAAATCGCGTAAGAATATTTCCATAACATGGCTACTACTTGTAGAAACATTAAAAATCTTTTTAAATTCTATATTTTTAATTGAATGAAAATAAGTTAGATTAGAAATATCGAAGCGATACAAATAACCTCAAAATAGTATCAGGAAATCGTCTACATATTTTAGGTGTTTGGTACAAATGTTAACCCGAAGACTGTGTCAAGAGGTAGTCGGAATGTAAGGTTATGCGACGACACAATCGTTTCTTATGGATTCGTATTTCTTTAACTCGATCGGTACGAGTGCCGATTATAGCCGACAACGACCGAATGCATCGCTACGACCGAACGTCGGCAAAAGTCGACAAAAGTTGACACTGGCCGAAAGTATACCGCAATCTTCCGCCTTTAATCGACTGATTATATTCTGTAAATTGTTTCTCACTTGTGTAATCACTCTATGTACGTAATTATAAATTATTCATGTGAATTTTATTCTAAAGCGCAAGTTATATGGAAAATGATACTACGTGGTAAATGAGCGCTGTATCGAAGAGGTTAAAGAGGGTGGTTATGTAGCAACTAACCTATACTTTGTTTAAGGAGAATTGGGGGGAAATATAAACAAACTGGTCACGTGATCTGTGCCGCGGATGCAGATAAATGGCGGCTGAACGTGGACACTTAGGGCCAACTTTTAGAAGCCATAAACAGGGGCCCTTACTTATAAGGTTAGACAAAATTTTTCTCGCAATATTCGATCTTACACCTGGATCAGCTCAGGTCCAGATCTGATCACGGGTCGCTCACGTGCAGATGTTTTATACTTTCTGTCAATTCTCGTTGAATATATTGAACTTGATCCCATCTCTACTCGCGACACCTGTCGTCACAGGACTAGACGAAACTATGCTAAGAATAGGATAAACACTAGACGGTGGCGATTTGATACGGACAGGCAGGCGTGGCCGATTGTCATAGTCGCACTCGATACTCCATTATGTCTGGCAGTCCGCGAGCGTCTGCAAGAGTAGGAGAGTGACGACGTTTTACCACACGGCCGGCAGCCGCGTATCGGCACTCTCTGCTACCTACACCCCACCACCGCCGGCATTTTCCGTATCGTATAGTACGTACGTTCGTTCGTTCATTCATACTGGCCTCGCTGACGAGAGCCACGTGGTTCCTGAGTCGTTGTCCTCTCTCTCTCCGGTTAAGCTCTCTCTATGCAACCTTGTTACCGTGCGCCGCTTGCAAACAGGGACGTCGGTCGATTCTGTCGCTTCTTCGCGGACACTTTGATCGTGAGATTTTTGGTTAGGTTTGATAAAGATGACAGTTGGTTTTCCCCGGTGCCATACGAACGACTCTTGTGGGAATGTTAATGTTTGTGGAAAGATGCTTGCAGGGTGTCGTGTCGAATAAACCGCTTCCTTTATTTAGCGCAAGATGACGCTGTTTGCAAACAAGGACACGATTCGATTATCTCGCTCCTTCGACTTTTTTTTGTCGATCCCTCGACTGTGTTCGCGCGATCATGAGGTTGCGGAGAGAGCTCTGGCGACGGGAATTGTGAGTTTTGGCGCTGCTTGTATCTTCCGAGGACCTTAATTTTCTCAGGAGGGGCTCGTAGAAAAATTACATCGCGTTGCGTCGATAGAATCACCTCCTTTGTATGGTGTGAGATGGCGCCCCTCGTTTCGTCCAAGTTGTGTATAGAGCGTGCTCTGGTATGCGAGTGAACGTATATGCAATGTAGTAAAGACTACGCGATTGAGGTTAAGTTAGCGCATAGAATTGACAGAAATGTGAACGTATGTTCGAAGTTCGGCAAAAATCTATCTATTTCCACGGATTATTAGAAACTTCTAGAAACACATGTGCATATAGAAATTGATGTGGACAGTGTCTGTTAAAATTTCCACAGATGCTATTCTTATTCATCGTTTTTATCTGAGACAGAAGTCTTGAGATTCTAAACAATAGATTATGGGTGATATAAGTTATCTAGACGCGTGTAACGATGAATATTCATAGGGTACTATATCTAGATCGTCTTATTACTGAGAGGAAATAAATCGTGCGGTTCAGAATAATTGTAGAGGAAGATGTAATCTTTTGTCGTGAATTAAATTACGCAACTACTAGCGTTGTTCGAGCGAGTAGCATTAGACTTTCCATGGCCGTAGATCAATCTTGCCTTTTTATCTATGGTATCTGACTTAAGTCTAGTTAAGATAGAAAATGACAAATTCAGGTTTAATATACCATATTTAGTATAGTAAACATAAACGATGTAGTTATTGTATGTAGCGTATTGTATTGTAATACTATGTCATTATATGCATATTATATGGTACTATATATATTATAATAGCGTTTGTATGGCTCCTCTTATACAATTATCAGAGGAATTTGTACCAACGAAATTTTTGAAAGTATTCACCTAACTTCCTTTCATTCAAATACATCCTCTGACCTTGCCTCTATGATCTCAGCGTCTAAGGCATGAGCTTAGTAGGAAGGCTCACTGATGAGTCCACTTCCTTTCTTTTCTTTCGTTTCTTCATTCTTCGCTTTTTTACCTCCTTTCATAACAGAGCGTCAAAATATTATTGTAGTATAATGTCCTTGTGTTATAGCAGCATACTAGTGTCCTATTATAAATGCACAACATAATTAGATTATAGTAGTTTAGTAATAGTATTATGGTTGTAATATAATATGTGCATAATTGTGTATACTACAATATGCACGGAATATAGTATTATACTGTGTTACCTATAATATATTATACTCATATTACGGCATATTACATTATGCATAATACCAAGGTAATTTGGAAAGTATATCTTTTTATTATCGCAAATTGCGAGCCATTTTTCAGAATGTTACCTAACCAGATTAGGTGCTTTTGAGCGATAAAGCATACCAATGAACAGCATAGAAAGTTGTAAATAAGTGGAATAGGAA